CAAGACTTTAAGATGTGTGGATGTCAGCTCCCAGAATTCTGGGAGCTGACGTCCACACATCTTAAATTTGCCAAGTTTGGAAAACGTTGCACTAGTGGAAATGGCTGGTCAACCTGATAACACTGGACTACAATACCCAGCAGCCCCGATCAATATGAGCATTGGGGAGGGATGCTAGGGGTTCAGAACTGCCTGGAACAGCAGTCCCCCAACCCCTCTCTGCTCGCCAGGGTCCTCTGTTCGCAACGCTCTTAAGCCAAAGCCAGCTTAAGGTTCCCGAACCATAAGAAGCTGAGGGCAGGAAGGGCTTGTAGTTGCCAACCAGGACCTCAAACTCAACCTTCTTCATTTCTTCTGCATTGGCAAGACGAGTGACGTCTCTCTTTTCGGTCCTAGTGTCCAGATCTAACTTTGCCCCTCTACCCAGGCCGGTTTAGTGCAAGACTAAACTTTTCTCCTGTTTGTCGGGGCTGATGAATTTCTTTCTCCTTCAGAGGTCACTGAGTTCAACTCAGTTCAATTTCTTTCTCCTTCTGAGGTCATTGCAGAGGGTTGGACTACAGCACCTCTAGAGACCTCCCAGTTCTAGGGTTTGGTGATTTCCTTTTTGAGCAGTGCACAAGAAACCAGGCTAGTTCCTGACACGTCCCCTCTCAGGCCCTAATCTTCTTCTCTTTCGCAGATCCCAAGGGTGTAGAAAACAGGCGAGAGAAACACGCCGCTAACTTTGAAAGCCAAACACTGAAAGACTGGAAGACATACAAGCAAAGTGGTAGGCATTTTGATGCATCCCACCCCTGCCTCCACCCCCTTCTGATAGACAAGTAGAATAAAAAATATCTCCACTGCTGCAGTAATGTAGATTTAGGGGAGAAAAGGGGTCCCACTTCTCAGATTTCAAGAAGGGGTGAGCAAAGCTTTAGTGGGCTGGTGGCCCCACTTAATATTTGGGGACAGGATGGGCTGTGTTGGGAAGGGCCAGGGCCCAGATGTGATTGGTGTCTGGATTTATTTGTCCTCACTGCTCTGGGCTGGGGGCGGTTTGGGCTTTTTTTATAATCAGATTAGGACATCAGGGTCTACATTTCAGGGTGTTGTGTGCTTTCGAGCTGAAAATGGCCGCAAAGCGAAGCAACGGCCAGGAGGGGGCATCAGTGAGAGCCTCAATATGGTGTTGGGAGTCATACGCAGCCCTGGAGCTGCAGGGGACCATCTGCAGGTGGCTGGGCCGCCCAAAAACCGAAGCTGAGAAGTTAACCATTGCTGTAAGAAGGGGACAGTGTTAACTCAAAGCGCCAGTTCCTGTGACGGTCAGAGCCAGCAGTCAGATAAGCGGCAGCTGGGCCTGCAGGAGGAATGGGGGCGTGGGAAGCGTCTCAGAAGGGACCTTCCCTAATTCTCTGGAAAGGAAAGGCAAGGGAGGGGAGAAGTGCTTTCAGACTTGCAAGAGTCTGTTACCGTAACCTTGCAGTAAAGGAAGTGTTAGTACTTATAGTTTGAGTTTCCTGCCTCGGTAGGCTGGCAGTTCCCGGGAGGGAGGGGGAATAGCAGAACCAAGCCTCTGTTTCAGCATTTATTGACTGATTTGATTCAAGTTGGATGCTGTACCTGACCCCCAGATTACATCCTTGGTCCCATGAGCATTGTGTTTTCCGACCTGGGGAACTTCCAGAGGTAGGGGACTTCAAGTCCCACAGTTCTCAGCCATGGTGGCTAGAGAACTCTGGGAGCTGAAGTTTGCATGTTGGAAAGGTGCAAGGGTGGCACCACTGATGAGTCTTTCTATAGGAGAGATCCAGCCTCCCCCAGCCACCACCTCCCCAAAACGCACCCCCAGCCCCTGGCCTTGCCTAGCCTGGTAGGGTTCACCCAACCTTCTCCTTGTTCCAGGTGTTCCCACCTTAGCCGAAGGGAAACTCACGAATGAAGCCAAATCCAAGAAGCGCAAAACCATCCCAAATGCGTCGCCCCGAATGAGTCACCCGGAAGAGAAAAGAACGGAAGAAGCCCCCGGATTGGGGCCTTTCTTTTACATCGGAGGAGCTAATGGGGTTGAAATGTAAGGAGAATGTCCTTGTACCCCCAATGCTCGGAAGACACTGAGTGACAAAAGCTACATCAGGGAGGGGTTGGACTATATGGCTTTCGCAGGACTTGGAGAGCCGAAGGGTTTGGGAGCTGGCAATTATTTCTCAAGGATTCTTTTGTTTGATTCTCACCGCAAGGCCGCCTTCTCTCCTCTCGCACAGCCTGAATCTCTACTGCAAAAGTAAAGGGTGGCACCGAATCTATGACAACCGGAGGGAAGACTACATCTTGAAATGGTGCGAGACCAAGTTGCGGGACACCTATTACAACTTCCGAGAAGGTACGGGCCAGTTTTCCGGTCGAGAGATGCTGGAAGAAACGGTGGCATTTTCAGAATGGCTTTTGGAGGTCAAGGAGCAGAGACGTCCAGGTTGCGTTTGTGAAGGACTCTGCGCGTTTCGAGACGAACATCTGAATCGCCTTTCTGGGCCTAATCCAAGCCACTAGCCACTATCGCACAATCTCTTGTCAGATCCATCAGCAGGAGGAAAATGGGGTTTATTTATTTACTTCTATTTCAAATGTGGTCACTGCCCATCTCACTTGGGAGTGACTCTGGGCGGTTGACAGTAAAACCAAGAATCAATATGAATTCAAATACAATTCAAATACAAACTGGGTGGAAGTCAAGCTTTCAATCCTGGGCATTTCTAGTTAAAAATCCTCAGCCCCCGTGGGCATCCCTGTAGATCATTCAGAAATTCTTGTCAACCCAGGCAGATACCAATTTGTGGGATCTTGGTTAATTCGATATTTTTGGATGCTGACTTCTCTCTGCCTCTTAATAAAGGGATACTGCCACTGAGTATAAAGGCTTCCCTCATCTCTATAAGCTATTGAGAGGCATATCCATGTCATTTTCTGTAATCCCCCCCTCAAACCTACTGAAAATCCCCTTCCATTTTGCCCAAAAATTCAGGAGGACACTTTGGGATCTCCCCCCAAGACCATAAATGAACAGTGCCATCTCCATCGCATTTTGCTGCATGAGTTCTCGTTCCTTCTACCCATTCAGGAGAGCAGCTTCTCTACCAGATCCCAAACAACAAGGTCCTTACGACAAAGATTGGCTTATTGATGAGCCTCAGGGAATATGAACGGGTGATGAGGAAGGTCAGCCGGACAACGAAGTAAGCCCGTCTTTCGCTTAACCCACCACCCTTTGTGTATATGTTGAAGAGGTATGCTGCCGGTCTCCTCCAGTAAAAGTCATTGACCATCATCATTCATAATAGGCTTCTTGGATGTTAGTAGGGATAAGGTTTTCCAAAATGCACAGAAAAACCTCCTGCGTTGATGAGCTATTGTAGGGTTCAGCTGAAAGAGACCTTAAGTATTTGGTGGTGGGAATCATCTCAAGAACTTGGGTGATTTAGGGATCGGCTTCTGATCAGACCCGGATTTCACCAATGGATGGGGAAACATCTAAGTTAGTTGTTAGGATTGGCGCAACAAGGAACGACATAAACACTCAGACATAAACATCCTTTACTCCGTTGCCCTCACTCTGCTCTTTCCCTAAGCTTGCCTTCGATCAGTACTGGCTTTGCTTATTTTTAATTAGCTCACCAGAAGGGATAATCTGGCTATTTAACATCAACACTGATATAATAGGGAACCTGGATTGAAAAGAAGACCAGGCAGAGTCGTTCTTTTCAGCCAAAATATTTAGTGGCTTTCTAATGAATTATGACCTCAGCAAGAGGCATCACTTAGCCGATCTGGGAAGCTAAGCAGGGCTCGGCTTGGTTAATATTTGAATGGGAGACCACCCAGAGATGTAGGCTAGACTGGGAAGTTGAAAAATCTCCTGGGGAAAAGCGGTGGTACATTATTTTTATACTGTTGCCATGAATTCAAATAGAAAAGTTCTAAAAATCTTTCTGTAATGTCAGATAGCCAGTGATGTATTTGCACAGTCCCTTATTAACAGTTAAATAAAATAACTTAGAATATCAACTCAATCTTCCACACTGTGAGAATAAATAACAGATTCCTAAGGAAAGGTGAAGCACTACATTGTAATTACGCCCTAATAAGAGGAAATGTGAATCCTGGAATTATCCTGTGGAATTGATGCAATCTGAAAAGAGTTTGGCTTTGTCGGGAATCCTATTCTCTGTAGCAGATGCTATCTGCTTTATCGGTGTTTATAAAAATATTAAAACCATTGGCCGATCTCCATCTCCTTCCCTTTTATCAGCAGTGTTGTTCAAAAGCAGCAAATGTTGATCCTCTTCCCTTTCAAAGCTGTGAATCAGCCAATTTGGGGCGGGCTGGCAGAGGTTCTGTGCAATTCTCAATGGAAAACACAAAACACAAGCAGAAATTGGGTTGGGAAGGGCTGCAAGTCCATATGAAGGAGTCACGGATGCCACTTCATCCCACATGGTGGCTGGCTTCTGACGAGATGGCTAGAAATCCTTTGAATACGTGTGCGTGAATCTATTGTTATTCAATTCCTTTTTTCCCCCGTGCAGATTGATCCGACTGGAAGATTTTTTCCCCGAGACCTTCCGTCTGGACACCAAAGACGAGCGAGAAATCTTCTTTGAAATATATAGAGGTGAACCCCCAAGCAATTTATTCTCTCTCCCTTCTCGAGATATTAATATATTTCCACCAGCGGGGTCTGTAAGAAAAGATGGCTGTGGGTCATGGTCTTGGCAAGGGAGCCTGGCTCAGAGCGATGGAGGTGGGTGCCTGCGAGAGGCAAAGTCAGGCGCATGACATCACACGCATGGGGATGTCATCTGCTTGATGATGTCACGATCTCTCTGGTGTCACTGTCGTCTGGAACACGCGGAAGGTCACAGCCGGTCCTGCTTTGCTCCCCAACATCTCTTGTTACGAGAAAATTGAATAACAGGCGGAAGGATTGGATGCTGGATAACTTTCCGCTCAAGAATATGAAATATTGAGTCCGCTGATAAATCTCTTGGGGCTGTGAGGAGCACATTTTTGGGGGGGGGGGAATCGCCCTTTGCAAGTCACAGGAAGTGCAAGGAGAAGCCGGAGTGTCCAGGTGGGGTCAGAAAAATCAAGATGGTGACTACCACCGTGGGAGCGAAGCCCCGCCCCTTTTTGACCCCTGCGACCCATGCAAAATGGGTCAGGGCGTCAACGGTGTGGTTGAGCCTACCATCTTGACTTTTTGGACCCTCTCCGTATGCCTATTTTTGCGTCCAGAGAGGAGAAAAATCTCATGGCGACATTAGGCTTGGTGGCTGCCTGTTTTCCCAGCGCGATCCTGCACAGTTCTAGGGCTATAAACCAGGGACTAGCAACTTAAGCAGCTTTCTCTCCCCCTCTGTAGAACCTCACATTTGGATCTGCAAACCCACCGGCTCAAACCAAGGCCGAGGCATCTTCCTCCTGAAAAGCCAAGCCGAGGTCCGAAGCTTGCAAGCCAGGCTCCAGAGCATGGAGGAAGATCCTTTGTATAAGAAGTTGCCGTACAAACTGCCTCCGGCACGAATTGTCCAAAGGTAGAGAATCCGGCCATGCCGCCGCCCTGCTATCCAGCTCCTGGCTGGTGAGCAACCGCAGACGCTCTTGTACTTGAACTAAAGCCCAGAGCAGGGATTCAGGCAGAGATGCGACAGGACACTCTTCCTAGGCAGTCTGGTCCTTCTGTCGCTTCTCTGGGGGAAGAGGGCGTGGGCGATGCGAGGCAGAGAACGTGCCGGATTAGCTAGGCCAAATAAAGAGGCCGGTAAATCATACAGAGACACAACAGACAGCCTCTTTCCAGGCTCTGTATTTGGGCTTTCAGTGGTCTGGCTCTGAAGAAGGCCATTTCCAAGTTTTTATGTGTTTTTCATTCTGCCAGCCTGAACGTTTAAAGCTGTTTGTAATTAGAGATGCTGCTAATTGTTTTTATTATTTTTATTATTTTATTTTTTAATGATTATCATTATCATTATTATTATTTGTTGCTTTGTGTTTAATGTCCCTGCACGGGCAGAGGGACTAGCCTTTTGACAGGTGGGGAGAGAGAGGGGAAGAGAAAGGAAGAGATTAGAGATAATTTCTGTCTGGAAATTTTAGGAGGGCTTCAAAGAGGCCGACGCGCCGCATTGTGTGGACTGAATGCGGGCAGGAGCAGCTGTGCCCGTTTTCCTCTTCGAGAGGGAGACGTCAGGGAGCTATTTTGGATTCAAGGAGATGCGTCACCCCACAAAGCTTTTTTATGGTTATTTATAGCCTTCAAAAATGATATTCAGGGTTGCAGTGGAGAAAGGGGGAAAAAACCCACAAATCCTCTGGCTTCGTTGGCCCGGATAAATCCAAATTACGGCACACGGAAAGGCAGCACGGGGACCCTGAACCCAACCGGGTGCTCCGTTATTGGGGATCCGGCAACAAGAACAGCCTGATGGGAGTTGTAGCCCTGCATGATCCAGAGGGCTAAGTGGGTCACCCTGGGGCCGAAAGAAGGTTTTCTCCCCGAGAAAGACTTCTTATTAAAATCCATTCCCCCGCTTGCCTGTCCCTGGCCCAAACATAGATTGGATGCGCCTCGGGGCAGAGACTTAGGCTTTCTGAGCCAGAAAGAGGAACGGCTGTTCTGTTTTCAGCGGCTTACCTGCCCTTCCTTCGCCCCAGGTACATTGACCATCCGCTTCTCCTGGAGGGGAAGAAGTTTGACGTCCGCTCTTACTTGCTGATCGCCTGCACGGTGCCGTACATGGTCTTTTTCGGCCACGGTTATGTCCGTCTCACGTGCCTCAACTACGATCCCAGATCGGAGGACCTCACTTCTCATCTGACCAACCAGGTGGGAAGAGCCTTGGACGGTCTCGCAATTGTGCCCCGCTATTCTGAGAACAGTGAAAAACAGCTGGGGAACAAGGGGGCTTCATTGGGTTTGGGGGGGAAAAAATCAAGGAAACTTGCCAATTCTCTTCTCCAAAAGCTAAGGAGGAAGAACAATGTGACTCAGCCCATTTTCAACTTAAGGCCATTACAGTCCAGGCTTTAAAACTGTGCAAATTTAGCCTGATTTTCCTTGCAGCAAGGAAATTGAAATCGAAATCGAAGGCCTCTTGGCATCTTTGTGCATTTCTGGGCACCACAGGGGGGCCTGCACACCTATGCGCACACTGAGGCATGCGTGTACAGACATGTGACTACACACCCACAGCCGCACACAACCCGCCTCTTGCTGTGGCTGGAATCCCTCGGAAGCCAGACCTTGCATTAAACTTAAGAAGCAAAACGGGAATGCTGCGATTATTATTATTATTTTTTTTGGTATTCTTATTCTTATTCTTCTTTAAGGGTTCAGGTGCTGAAAAAGAGACATCTCTGGTGAACAGAGCCATCTGGAGCATGCCCGGTTTCCGTTGGCCCTGCCCAGCTGGCGTTGTCCCCGGGCACCTTGTGCAATGGCCAAGCTCTAGCCTTTGTTTTGTCCGATTCAAACTGGTTGTTTGGCTCTGTGTTAAAGACACCCACTGACACCAGATGCTACGGAGAGTCTCCTGGCCACAAAAGACGTTAACTCTGAGCAGGTTTTTTTCCTTCCTTAATTCCAAGAGACTGAGTTACCTCCTTTAATCCGCCAGGGTTTGAAATCTTGCCAGAGCAGCTGGCAAACTCTGCATCCCCCCCCCCCATATTTTCTTCCCTGCAATTGGATCCCACTCCGCTTCTCTTAACGGTGAATGCTTTGCCCAGAGAACTGGAAATGGATTTGCATCCAGTGGGGGTGCCTGGGGACTCATCTTGTTAGGGCTTCAGCAGCCAAGGGGCTGGGAAAAATGCTGGGATTTTCTGTAGCTTCAGCTTTTCGTCCTCTGCAGACCTGAACACCCCAAAGTGGCCTGAGCAAGGGGAAAAACTAGATTTGGCCTCAGTTCGTTCAAGTTAAACAGTCAATAAAATTAAATGCAGCTAATTGAATAACTCTCTCTCTCTCTCTCTCTCTCTCTCTCTTTTTTGCAAGAGCTGAGATTTTAAATCATCTTCCCCCAGCTCATAATTCCTTGATTTCTAGGCTGCCTATTAGCAAAACTCTCCAGTGGCTTCCACAAAAGGCCAGGAAGCCTCGAAGAAAATACAGCATTTTAAACAGTTTTATTAAATGTACAGGCAGAAGTCCCAAGAAAATGCAACCATTATTTTGGTGGTGGTGGTTGCTCTAGTACCACGATCTGGAATCAAGGAATAAAAGCAAAACAGGGGAGAGGGAAAATAATATTTTTTTAAGCCAGCAAGTGAAGCCATGGCCATGGACTATACAAATGAATGGGTAGCAGAAGGGAAGAAAAAGGAAGCTGCTTCGACCTGAGGCTTGACCTGAGCAGCCCACCCAGGGTCACCTACCCAAGCCAAATTTTCCCACTGCTTTTTTCCTTTCTCCCCCCTCGCTCTCAGTACGTGCAAAAGAAGAGTCCCATCTACACCCACGTCAAGGAGGAGACGGTATGGCTGATGGAGCGCTTCAACACCTATGTCAACGAGAAGTTCAGGCAAACCAAAGGGCTCCCTAGAGACTGGGTCTTCAACGGCTTTACCGTGAGTTACGAGTTAATTAAAGCCATTCTTACTTTTTTCTTGGGCAGCTCGCTAAGCTCGGTAGCGAGAGAATCCTTGTCCTTTGGCTAAAAGACATAGCAGGCAAGGAAAGATAGTTGGGGAGGGAAGACGAAAAAAGCGAGTGCAGAAGTTCATTCTTAAAGTTAGGGTGCTTAATGTGGTGAGATGGAATGGAAATCGTTCAGGTGGAATTAGGGAAACAGGACTAGGGAAATAGGAGATCTGGAAACGATTATTTTCAGAGAGCATGAATAGGTGGTAGCCTCAGGCTGAACTTGTCTGGGCTAAAAATCTAAGCCTGGTTGGACCTGATTAATACTTGCACAGTAGACCACCAGAAAAGGCCAGGCCTGTAAACTAGACTGGGAAGGCAAAAGATAGCTTAGACAAAAACAACAGCAAATCATTTCCAGATTTTTCCTGAGAAAATGGGTATATCCCTAAAATCACAAGATAAGTAAGGGTTGATTTTATTTGTAGGGAATACCCATACTGAAACCTGTATTTCATCCCACTCCATGAACATGTTTTCCCAGGGGTGGGTGGAGGAAAATCAATTGAACAGATATGTGGACTTCAACTCCCAGAATTCCCCAGCCAGCTGGCTGGGGAATTCTGGGAGTTG